TCACTCCAGTTTGGGTGACAGAGTGAGACTCCAACTTAAAAAAAAAAAAAAAAAAAAAAGAGATGGGCTGGGAGTGGTGGCTCATGCCTATAATCCCAGCATTTTAGGAGGCCAAAGTGGAAGAAATGCTTGAGCCCAGGAATTCAAGACCAGCCTGGGCAAGCCTGGGCAACATAGTGAGACCTTGTCTCTACCAAAAAAAAAAGAAAAAGAAAAAAAAATAGCTGGGCATGATGTGTACACCTGTAGTCCCAGCTACTTGGGAGGCTCAGGAGGAAGGATAACCTGAGCCCAGGAGATTGAGGCTGTGATGAGCAATGATCATGTCACTGCACTCTAGCCTGGGTGACAGAGTGAGACCCTGATGCAAAAAAAAAAAAAAAATTAAAAGGTGGCTTTTCATTAATTCAGTGTTTCTCTAAAATATACTGAGTTTTAATAAGTTAGATCGAGATTGTCAGGCCTTTGTTTTATGGGTCTTTTTTAAACGAAGCACACAGGAAGCAAACAACAAATAATAATGAAATAAGAACAGACAGAAACAAAATCATATCTTGAAAAGCAGACATTTTCCCTATACCCCGTCGCCTCCTCTAGGGGTCTCCATTGCACATTCGATTTCCTGACCCAACAAAATGTAAGCAACACTTACTCAGAGCTGTCTGTATATCCTTTTCCCCATTTTTCACTTCTGTCAAAAATCCCTTTAAAAATTTGAGACCTCTAAAACAAAATAAAGAAGGAAATATTATTTTCAAAGTTCACTAATGTTGAATGGGTATAAAGAAATGGCAGACAACAGCTTCTATTTCAGTAATATCTTGGGCACAGCAGAAAACAGGCCAAATCATAAGGCAGTCCCTTTTGGAGTTACTTCCTTGTTATTTCCCTTTAGCTTGCTCTGGACCCCTTCTCTCATCCCATGTGACATACATAAAGCAGTGGTTTTCAAAATGTGGTCCCAGGACCAGTGGCTTTAGCATCACTTGGGACTTTGTTAGAAATGTAAATTCTAGGGGCCTACCCCAGACTTACTGAATCAGAAACTCTGGTTCTGAGTGTAGTGTTTTTAATATGCCTTCCAGATGATTCTGATGCCACTGAAGTTGGAACCACTGATTTAAAGAGAAACCAGTTGACTGTACATTCCTTTTAAGATTCCTATCTTATGCCTGAGCCTGTGGGTTCAAGATCCGCCTGGGCAACTTGGCGAGACCTCATCTCTACAATAAATAAAAAAACCAGCCAAGCGTGGTAGCACATGCCTGTCATTCCGGCTACTCGGAAGGCTAAGGCGGAAGGATTGCTGGAGTCCAGCAGGTTGAGGCTACAGTGGCCGCTCCTGGCCACTGCACTCCAGTCTGGGTGATGGAGTGAGACGCCAACTCAAAAAAAAAGGATTCCTATCTTATATACACTATTAACAATATTTGTCACTATAAAGAGAGAGACAAAAAAATTAATAGGTTGGTGTTCTATTCATCAGACCCTCCAGACAAGGCTACACAATTCAACTAGATCCTTCACTCAGATGTAGTCTTCTTTACATAACAATTTTTTGTGGTAACATTTCAGTGGAGCTAGATTTTAACTGCTGCCCCACCCCTGTCTCACCTCTTCAGCCACAAGAGGGCTTCAGTAGCTGAGTTCCTAACCTGGGCTACCTCGGCCTCTACTTCATGCAGCACTATCTTCTGGAGGGTGGTAAATTCTTCCTTGTTGGTTATATACTTCTGGTTTACTTTCTAGAGGAAAAGCAGAGAAACAACCTAAGTTAAAAATGCTGAAGTTATCAAGCATAGTATAATACTGAGACTTAAAGTTTGGCAAGCAGGCTTCTAAGAAATCAAAATGAAGTAAGCCTCTACTACCTTCTTCCTTATGTTTTTAAGATAATATAGTTTTTGTTTGAGAATTCTATGAGGCTTAAGCTGGAATTAAATAGTCTCAGCGTTTAAAGTTGTGTTGTTTAAGTAATTTTTTCTGCCTGTGAACCTCTCACCTGTATTTGGCAGATACTTTTCATCCTGAGTATAAAACTCAACAATCATTTGTTTGAATGATATTTCAGGTAAATATTTATTTCATCTAAATGCACAGTAAAGAAAGGTATGTCTATAGGAATTTCTTACACTGCTTCCTCAAAGAGTAATGCCCAATGACAAAGAAGATAGATGTATATTCAGTATTATATCTTCAAGAAGGTAACATTAAATTTACATTTAAAAAGGGACTAGCCAGGCTTGGTGGCTCAGCCTGTAATCCCGCGCCTTGGGAGGTTGAAGTGAGTGGATTGCCTGAGCCCGCGTGTTTGAGACCTGCCTAGGCAACTTGGTGAGACCCCATCTCTACAATAAATCAAAAAATTAGCCGGGTGTGGTAGCGCGCACCTGTAGTTCCAGCTACTTGGAAGGCTGAGGCCGAAGGATTGCCAGAGCCCAGCAGGTTGAGGCTGCAGTGGCTGGGAGCGGCCACTGCACTCCAGTCTGGGCGACAGAGTGAGACTCCAACTCAAAAAAAAAAAAGGAACCAGGGGTGGATGCAGTGGCTCAGCCTGTTGTAATCCCAGCACTTTGGGAGGCCAAGGCGAAGATTACCTGAGCCCGGGGTTCCAGACCAGTCTGGGCAAGTTGGTGAGACCTCATCTCTACAATAAATCACAAAAACTAGCTGAGCGTGGTGATGTGCATCTGTAGTTCCAGCTACTTAGAAGGCTGAGGCAGAAGGATCGACTAAGCCCGGCAGGTTGAGGCTGTGGTGACTGTGAGTGTGCCACTGCACTCCAGCCTGGGCGACAGAGTGGATTCCAACTCTAAATAAATAAATAAAAAGGGACCAAAACTTTAAAAATTGGAAGTAATATATACAACTTTCTCATTTTCTGGGAAGAAACAGGCTCAACGAGATTTGGTGAGTTGCTGATGGCCCACAGCTGCATCTGGAAGTTGGGCCTTTCAAGTTCCAGACCATAGATGACTATTTTCACTATATACCTTTTGGAAAAATATAAAGTCATTGTTTAAACCTGAAAAAACACAGAATCAGAGTTGCCATAAGAGTGAAACCCTACTGATCCACACTCTGTGCACAAAAAAGTAACCTTGGTTTCGTTTTCAAAATGAGTATTCTACTCCCCCAAAGCCTGCCTCTAGCACACAGCAAAGGTTTAGGCGTTCCCTTACTGAGCATTCACAGTGTGAGAAGAAAGACACACGTTCTCTTGAAGAGCTGTGATACATTTTCACCTTTTGATGATTATTGTCAAACACAAAACTACTGAAAACATTTTCCTTTATTTTAAAGTTTCCACAGAGTCAAGCCAGTATACTCACCTTAATATTTCCAACAAGATCCATCTTAACAGGAGCAAACACTGTAGGGCCAAGTTTGTCTAAAAGAAAGATAAAAATCATTTTTGAAATTTTTTTGAAAAAGTATTATTCTTTTAAATGGAAAATTTTTATATTAACAATAACTTCAGCAGATCTTTCCCCCAACAAATTTAATTTTCGCTTCTAAATCATTTTGTAAACATAAGGTTCAAAAGCTGCAGGATACTGTCATTATCTCTTTCAATTATACTACTCTAAGGTGAGTAACCAGAATGAGGTCATAGTGGCAGGTAAGATGAAGATAATCTTATAAGTTTAGAATACATGTTGTAATCCTTAAGGCTGCACTGTCCAATATGGTAGCCACTAGCAATATCAGCCACTACGCTGATATGCAGCAATTCAGCACTTGCAATGTGGTTAGCCAAAATCAAAATGTACTGTAAGTATAAAATACATACCAGATTTTGAAGACTTAGTACCAAAAAGAGAATGCAAAATATCTCATTAATGATTCTTTTACAGTGATTACATGTTGAGATTATATTTTGGATATGCTAGATTAAATAAAATACATTATTAAAATTAATTTTAGTTTTACTATTTCAATGTGCCTGTTAGACAACTTAAAATTACATATGTGTCTGAATATTTCTGTCGGGCAAGGCTATGACTAAAAAATAAAACAAAAAGGTATAGCTAAAAAGACACAAGAGAAAAGATAATGGATTCTAAAAAATACTGATTGATCAATCAGAAAGAAGGGCAGGGACAAAGATAAACAGATAAAAAGCCGAAAGAGGAAGTAAAATAGAATATTAAAAAAATAACTGGTTAATTAGCTAGAAGTCAGGAAAAGAGTAAAAAAAGGAATAAAAACAGATAGGAAAAATATAAAATAAATAGCTAGGTGGTAGGAATAGCAAGATAATACATTGAATTTATCCAAAAAATGGAACTCACTATATAAACAAATTACTGGGAAAAAATGACTTCAATAAATGCAGGAAAAGCATTTCATCAAATTAACTCACTCATGATTATAAAAATAACAGCATACAAAAATAATTTGTATCTACATACTATTAATGAAATAAAACACTTTTTACAATAGCATCAAAAACCATACAATTCTAAAATTTATTCCTAGCAAAAGATATGTAAGATCTCTACATTAAAAACTATATAAAATAGTGTTGAGAGAAAATAAAAATGACTCTAGTAAATGGAGACACATAGTATATTCATGAATTAGAAGACTCAATGTTGTTTAGATGTCAATTTTCCCCTAATTGGTTTACAGATACAACGTAATCTTGATCAAAAACCCAAAAGATTTTTAAATAGAAATTGAAAAGGCTCAGCCTGTAATCCCGCCCCTTGGGAGGCTGAGGTGAGTGAATTGCCTGAGCCCGCAGGTTCAAGACCCGCCTGGACAACTTGGCGAGACCTCATCTCTACAATAAATCAAAAATTAGCCGGGTGTGGTAGCGTGCGCCTATAGTTCCAGCTACTTGGAAGGCTGAGGTGGAAGGATCGCTGGAGCCCAGCAGGTCGAGGCTGCGGTGGCCGGGAGCGGCCACTGCACTCCAGTCTGGGCGACAGAATGAGACTCCAACTCAAAAAAAAAAAGAAAAGAAAAGAAAAGCTAAAATTTAGCAAAAGATCTAGAATTTCCAAAACAATCTTCAAAAACAAAATTGAAAGACTTACATTATCTAATTTCAAGTCTTATAGTTTAAGACATTGTAAGAACTCTGGGACAGAAGAGAGAGTCCAGAGATAGTCCCAAATTATAAGGTCAAGTGATTTTCGAAAAAGCTGCCAAAGCAGTGTAAAAGTATTTTTACTTTTTCTGTTCTTTTGACAAATGGTTCTTGAATATACAGATATCATAAGGAAAAAAGAAAAGCACCTCAACTTCCTACCTCACACCACATACAAACAATAATTCCAAGGGGGCATAAATGTAAAAATAAGAAGAGTCTAGAAGAAAACATCGGAGACTAACTCATAGACTTTGGGAAAGTTAAGATATCTTAGGACACTGAAAGCACTTCCTGTAAAGGAATAAACTGGACTTTATCAAAATTTGAAACTTCTGCTTTTCAAAGATATCATTAAGAAAAAAGAAGCGAGCCACAGTCTGGGAAAAAATATTCACATATGTCGGCAATGGAATTTTACTCAGAATATGGAAAGAACTGTCACAACTCAATGATAAAAAGAAAAAGAACCAACTTTGAAAATGAGTTAAAGATCTGAACAGACACTTAACAATGGAAGAGACAGCAGTGGCCTATAAGTATATGAAAAAGTGCTCAGCATCATTAGTCATCATGGAAATGCCAATTAAAGCCACAATGAGATACCACAACATTAAACACTCCTATGCATTTACTCAAGAAAAATAAAAACATATGCCCATAAACACAGAAATGTTCAGAGCAACTTCCTTTATTCATCTATAACTTCATTTCCCAAACTAGAAGCTACCCAAATGTTCATCAATAGAAGAATAAATAAATAAATTGTGGCATATTCATTTAATGGAAAACTTCTCAACAATAAAAAGGAATGAACTACTGATACAGACAAGGATAAGTCTCAAAAACATATTGAGTGTATGGATAAAGATGTGAATTACATAAGTAGGTGCATTTGTCAAAGCTCGCTGAATCATAATATGTAAGTCATATGCAAGTTATACCTCAATTTTTAAAAAATACATAGTTAAGTGGGTTATACAGTGAATTTCAACACAATGGCAATCCCTGGTTACTGATTTTACACTAAGTAAAAGTAAATCTGATCTAAATCAACATATATAGAGAGGAGAGAGAGAGAGAGAGAGAGAGAAAGAGATTTTTTAAAAATATCTGAAAAAAATGTTTTAAACTGGTAAAATACTTATTTCATAGTAACAACAGATTGGAAGGCCTGTTCCTCAACTACTTTCACTTTTACTTTTCTGTATGATTTCTGGAAAGCAAGACTCCATATTACTGTGAGGTCAATACTTAATTATAATTGGAAATGAAACAGGAATATGCAATTTCATAGAGATTTAACTGCATGTGGCTGGTGATATGAAGGTCACAGAATTTTAACTGCATGTGGTTGGTGATATGAAGAGGCAGCTATGAAGAAGGGTCATCTCATCGTATACCTGGTTCAGAATATTTCCCCTACAAAATAAATGCAGTATGACAGATTCTAGAGACTAACGAATGTAAGGCAACTGCAGGAATCTTACCTAATACTGGAACCACAGCATAACATGATGCCAAGAATGCTTCTGTGGGAATGCCACTGTCTTCCAGAAGTTCAATGTCACTAAAGCTAAACAATATGATGATACGGAGGAGGAAAGATTGAAAATACATCATCACTCTCTGTAGTTCAGAGGCAGTCAAAGTAGCAGCTGCCCCTCTGCAGGGCAAATCATTTGACTTGATCTCATGGATATGCCCCAGTAATTGTTTTTCTATTATAATACAGATCAATACAATCATTTTCCAAAGATAATCCACCAAAGCAAGCTAAAATTTATTCACAGAGTACACTTCACAATCCAATTCCTTCTCACTCACTGTTGGGACAAGGTAAATAGTAAAGCAGGGGGCAAGCACGGTGGCTCAAACCTGTAATCTCAGCACTTTTAGAGGCAGAGGTGAGAAAACTGCCTGTGCCCAGGGGTTCAAGACAAGCCTGGGCAACTTGATGAGACTCCTGTCTCTACAAAAAATCAAAAAATTAGCCAGGCATGGCAGCACGTGCCTGGAGTTCCAGCTATGGGGAAGGCTGAGGCGGAAGGATTGCCTGAGCCCAGCAGGTCAAGGCTGAGGTAGCTGTGAGTGTGCCACTGCACTCCAGCCTAGGCGACACAGTGAGACTCTGACTCCAAAAAAAAAAAAAGTAAAGCTGGTATTTGACATACCATATTCTCTATTGTCTTAGAGTATATCTTCACCTGAGAGGAACACTAGTAATTTTCCAGAAGGGATTCCAGGATCCAACTCTCAGTGATTTTAGAGGGTCTAGAATACCTGGTGTTCATGGTACTAAAGAAAGTTGGGATAACTTCTTTGTCTTCTTCCCAGTGGGATTCTGGAGGGCAGCCTGAGTCTGACCCAGGTTGTGTGAAGTTGCTGTCATGATTTCCCAGGTTTTCCATTCCATCTTCCTTTATTATTTCACCTTGGACTGTAAAGTAGAAGATACCTATTACTAACCTGTTATATATTTATCATAAAAATTAATATGTATTCATTGTTGAAAATATCTAAAACACAGAAAAGTATGCAGTATACCTATCAAGACACTTTTTCCATGGCTCAAAACAGTTTTTGAACTCGTCAATTTTGATGCCTTTAAGTGCTTCTGACTTTTTTGTTTCACCTCTTTCACACTGGCAAAATGTTTCCCTTTAAGGACTTTTTTCTTTTTCTTTTTTGGAGTCGGAGTCTCACTCCATTGCCCAGACTGGAGTGCAGTGGCACGCTCCCCGGCCACTGTAGCCTCCACCTGCTGGGCTCCGGCGATCCTTCCACCTCAGCCTTCCAAGTAGATGGAACTATAGGTGCATGCTACCATGCCCGGCTAATTTTTTTTCTTTTTGATTTATTGTAGAGATAAGGTCTCACCAAGTTGCCCAGGCGGGTCTTGAACCCGCAGGCTCTGGCAATCCACTCACCTCAGCCTCCCAAAGCACTGGGATTATAGGCTGAGCCACTGAGCTCCGCCGAGGACTTTTTTCATCTGGAAAAACAAAAAAAGTCACTTGGGGAAAGGCTGGGTAAATAGGAAGGGTGGAGCATGGGGGTCATGCCATTTTTTCTGGTCAAAAACTGCTGAACACTCAGTGCGGTGTGAGCAGGTTGTTTATATAAATCACCCCTCATTAAATGGACAAAGAATCTAAAAAAAAAAAAATTCACTGAAATCAAACATAGCTTCTCACTACAAAAGCTACCTGGTACACTGATGCCAATAGGTTCCTAGAACACTTGCCTAGTGGGGGAACCCTGTACTACAGGAGGCCCACCCTCCAAAAGGTAATTCCGGTTTTTATGGGGTCCCCTTCGTATATATAACATATACACACACAAACAAAACTGGGCTTAAAGGTCATGTAAATTTGTATCTTGCTTGGTTTCACTAAACAATGTATCATGAATAGTTTCATTATCATTCAATACTCTTCTAAAAACATGATTATAATGACAATGTAATATTACATCATGCCTATGTGGAGAGCATTTAGGTGGTTTCCAAAATTTTACTATTAAAAATAGTCTATCCTCATTATTAGTGTATTCTTTATATATTTGTGAATTTGTCTACTTGCTAAAATGTATTTGTAGCCCCCAAATCCATATTTCTGGCACTTTTGCAGTCATTTGTGGACATGCACAGAATGGTGAGAAATGTGTGACCTGATAAGTAAACTCTTAGATGAGGTAGAACAAGGTAATGGTTTGCCTTCTCGTTTTAGCTCTCAAGTTATAAACAAATATCCTTATTCAATGTCACGTTTTATGCATGTTATTGCATTTTGTTGTTGATTTTGTTGTTTGAAAGGGTCCCCAAGTGTAGCGAAATACTGTTCGCATACTATTCATGAAATACTGTCCCCATACACATATACATAACATATATACACACATAAATAAAACTGGGCTTAAGGTATATGTAGATTTGTATCCTGCTTGGTTTCACTGAACAACGTATCATAAATTCATTATCATTCATTACTCTTCAAAAACATTATTTTAATGACCATGTAATATTGCATCATGCCCCTGTGGAAGACATTAAGGTAGTTTTCCATTCCATTTTCCTTCATTATTTCAACTTGGACTGCAAAGTAGAAGACATCTATCACTAATCTGTTATGTATTTATTATAAAATTTAATACATATTCATTGTTGAAAATTTCTACAACATAGAAAATAAAAATTCATGAAACACTGTACACATATAAATATATATAACATACACACAAACAAAACTGGGCTGTGTCTAGCATTCCTAAGCACATGAAGGCTGTGATGTGCCATATGGACAAAATGTGTTAGATAAGCTGCATTCAGGCATGAGTTATATATAGTACAGTTAGCTGTGATTTTAATGTTAATAAACCAATAATATACATTGTGTCTTTAAACAGAAACACACATAAAACAAGGTTAAGTATTGATTAGTCAACAAAAATGTAATCATACACTTGCAGGAACCCAACTTCACATTTCCCCTAGGGGCAATCGTTCAGTATTTGTGAATTCAGTGTTTGTGGTGACTCAGCAAAACATTAACTACTGCAAATAATGAGAATCAACTGTAATGCCATAAAGAACATCCCTGTCCATAGATATTTGTCCTTAAATCTGACTATTCCCTGAAAAAAAAACTACTAGAAGTAAAATTACTGGGGCAACTAAATGATTGTACTGTTTTGAAGAAATTCTCCTGTCTTTATTATTACTCAAAAAATAAGACTTCAATGATATGTGGACTGTGTCTCCAATTAACAGCTAAGAAAATGTACCTTCTTTCCCCCCAACTATCTAGAAAAACAGGGTCACTTATTTCAGAGTACATAAAGAGGAAATTTTTTAATTTTCAAATTATTTATTAAGCACTTATAACACAATTAAAAGCTCTACTATGGTTGTCTTTGATATGAAGTAGATTTTAGTGATTAGTGCCAATGGAATTAGCAATTTGAATTACAGACCTCCTACCTGAAATGTGGGACTTTGGCTTGATAGAAAAGACTGGGTAAAAACCTGACGGTGACTGGTGAATTCTGACATCCTTAGGCCCTTGAAGTGCCAAATTTTATACAATGCTAAGTCTGACATCACAGTCTAAGTTCAAAGGATTTTAAAATACAGGGTAGAAGGCCAGTGAAGTACTTATGCCCTCTAAAAAGTCTACTCAGACAGCTACTGCTCACTGAAGCCCACAAACGTTAACAGCCAAGAACACTGAGCAGAAATCTTCCTCTTCACTTTGCCTTCTCAATACTGGGTCATCTGGGATGACAGAATATGGTTCAATCAACAAGGTGTCTTACCTACCCAATATCATCCTTAGGAGATACAACTACCCTGTCTTGAGGTTAATCCCTCTCAAGTGTCACATCATGAATATAAATCAAATACCCAAATTTCTTATCATTCAATGGTTGCTTCAGACTTTACTTTTGTTTGTACCTGTTATATTATCATCTGTATTTTCCTCACTTGATATGCTGCAGTTTATCGCTGAAGATTTCAAATACAAGGAGCTCTTGCTTTTTATTAGAATTTCTTCATCTCCATTTATTTCCATATTTAAAGATCCATTTTCACAACTGTTCACCTCCATTTGCCTGCAAAATTTTTTAAATGGAAAAAAAGTCAGAAAATCCAGTTATTTGGTCAGATATTGAATGCCCAGGTCAATGTTAATCTGAGAGGTGGGGGCAGGGTTCGCAATCACCAACTCCTTTCAACATTAATTAAAAAACAGAATTGTTAAACCAAGCCCAACCTCTCAGCCTCCTACCTGCAAGACCTGTGATGGGAGCAGGTCAGTCATTTAGAAATGGAAGAACCATCAACAGTCTTCCATCACCCTAAGTTGTCCCAATCTTCCTGTGCCCCACTAGCATCAGGAAATGGTCACTGATAGCTCTTTGATTTTCAATCAGCTTTCTCCAGGTGCCACATTTAACACTTTGACTTTCCTCAACTTCTCCCCGGGAGGTTTTTTTCTCTCTCTACACCACTCACTGCCTGCCTCCGTGTGTTTGCCTAACAGTTAAGTGTCTACAAGCCACATGCTGTGGTGACGGGACAACACTCCAAGTAAAGTATGTCTGACAAAGAAAACCCAGGAGGATCACAACACATCCGGAGGCACCTGTCAGCACTTTAGGGTAACAGAAAAAGCTACTTAACATCCAAGTCGTACAGCTGATTCTGTTAAAGGGCCAATCATAATATCTCACTACAGGCAGTTACACCTAGCCAAATTAGAAAAAAATATTTTCTGTTAATAAAAATAAGGAGGAAGGGTTCAAGCAACATGGTGATTCCAGGAAAAGCATTTGCTATTTTCTAAAAAAATACCATACTTCAACCTAATAATTCAAAATGTAGGTGTATATAGAGACAATATTTCAAAAGAAAAATACAAACATGCTACTAGTAGACATATTTAGAACAGTATTAAACTGGAAACAAACAAACTGGGAATAATCTTTGTAATAAAGAAGCAAACACTAGGATACAAAGAGGCAAGCTCTAGCAGGGTGCAGAGGCTCACACCTGTAATCCCAGCACTTTGGGAGGCCAAGGCAGGAAGACTGCATCAGCCCAGGAGTTTGAGGCCAGCCTAGGCAACATAGCAACATCTCATCTCTACAAAAAATTTAAAAATTAGCCAGATATGGTGGTGGGCACCTGTAGTCCCTACTACTCTGGAAGGCTGCGGCAAGAGGACTGCCTGAGTCCAGGAAGTCAAGGCTGCTGTGAGCCATGATCATGCCACTGCTCTCCAGCCTGGGTAACAGAGACCCTGATTTTAAAAAAAGAGGCAAACTATTAAATAATAATTTGAAAGAAAAAAATACCAAACTATGTCAATACATGGGAATGTCTATATGAAATAACTAACTAAAGATCCTATTGACTATGAAAAGGTGTACCTTTTTTAATTGAAGGAGTATGTAGGGGAATACAAAGAGCTTAAATTTTGATATTAATTTCTTTTTCAACCTGTAAAGCTACAAGATTTTTATTTTTAAACAAAACAAATTAGCACTGCTATCTTTTCCAGTTAAAAGCACACTTAAATCAATGTTTAGCTCCTCTGCAAGAGAAGTTCCAACCTTCAGTACACCCTAGAGAGATGAAAAGTTACTAGGTGTGGCCGGGCTCGGTGGCTCGGCCTATAATCCCAGCGCTTTGGGAGGCTGAGGTGAGTGGATTGCCTGAGCCCACAGGTTCGAGACCTGCCCGGGCAACTTGGCGAGACCTCATCTCTACAATAAATAAAAAATTGGCCGGGTGTGGTAGCACGCGCCTATAGTTCTGGCTACTTGAAAGGCTGAGGTGGAAGGATCGCCGGAGCCCAGCAGGTAGAGGCTGCAGTGGCCGGGAGCGTGCCACTGCACTCCAGTCTGGGCAAAGAGTGAGACTCCAGCTCAAAAAAAAAAACAAAAGTTACTAGGTGTGATTGGTGAGAGCCATATCCTAGGAAAAATGCAAACACCTTCACTATCAGTGCTAAATGAAAGGTCTGGTCTACCTTGCTTCACCAAAAGAAGAACGTCAGATATTGTTTACTTATGTCAAATCATGAGGAAAACCACCAAATGATCAAAATATCACTTTCTTTTAAACAAGGACAACATTCTTATTTTTAGCAAGAAGAAAAAACAAAAAAGTTACTGTACCTTTCCAGTGAATTATGAATCGGTACAATAGGATGTTTCATCTTTAAAAGAAGCAAAGAAATTAAAGTTTACACGTTAAACTTCCAACAGAGCATATTTAGGATTTTATCACATATATAAGTGGTAAATATGACCATAACATATACTATTCCACTTAACGGGAACAATTTTAGGTCCTCCCAAAAGGGAGTCATTGAACACAACTAGCCTTTCTTATTTATTCAAATAATGGTATCTAATGGTATCCAAATTTCTAAGGAAAAGGAAGATGGTCTTTTGAAGGACCTATTTATCATAACCAAACTCAGCGATTAGCTACCTTTGTAATTTCAGTTATGCTCTTCAAACATTAATAAATAGCAAATTATGACAGAGCATTGTATCAAACACTAGAGGTATTATAAAAAGAAACACTATAGGGTTCCTGTCCTTAAAATAATTTCAATATAGAACAAAGCTAAAACGGGTATGCATATGAGAAGCTCTTAGCCCAATCTAGAGATTCAGGGAAGAAGAGACTAAGTCTTGGGAGATGAATAAGAGCTAACCCAGGAAAGAAAGGTGAGAAGGGTATTCTTGGCACTGGGAAATGGCACAAAGGTGTGGGGGAAACCACAAGCAATTATATGTTCAAGGTAGGTAATGACAGGGAAAGAGGTTGGTGACATGGGAAGGAGCTTAGGTGTTTTTACTTTCAACCTACAGGCAACAAAGGCTTAGGTAAAGTGGTTCAACTTAAAATGCACTAAGAGAAATACTGTTACTGATTGGAAGGATCAGGCTGAAGGCAACTAGTAAGAAGGCTACCACAAGTTTAGGCAAGACTCACTAGACAAGGAGACTGGAAAGAAGAGGTTACATTAGAGCATATTTAGGCAGCAAAATTGCCACAAATAACTGACTGGATATGGGGTACTGAGGGCAGTATAAAGGGGTACATAAAGCAAAGTCCACTAAAAAAAATGCCTTTATCAATCACAACAGGGTGATGGAGAACACAGCTCAATATAAACTTTTAAATTTTTCATGATGCCTTGTTGCAGCCAAATGGAGCGGGACTTTTACCTTGCTTGACTTGAGCATGGCCAGCTGCGGTGATCCTGGGGGAGTGCGGTAGAGCAGCTCAGAAGTGAAGGCTGCATTTGCGATTTGCATACATTCTTCCAAGGTCTTCAGGAAAGTATTGCAAGTTGATTTCAGCAGAGTTCCCACATCAATTCCTTCCTACGAAACAACCAGAGTGGAAGACTCCTTAACCTTACCAAAAAAGAAAAAGCCCAACAGTGGAAAGTCCTTAGAAATTTTTAATCCATAAAATAATAACAATAATAAATGATAATAACAATAATAACAAAGTATCCACCAATTTTGCTGGGCAAATATGCACATCAGTTATAAAAGAAAAGTCCTACTTATCCATTAATCAATATAACCATCAGTAATATTAACCACTAACACTCAGTTGTCGTAACCAACAATTGTCTTCAGACATTGTCAAGTGTCTCTTGAGGAGCACAACTGCTCTAGGTTAAGAATCATTCCCAAGAACAGGACTGAAACTTTTTTGGTACCCTTCTCCTTCCCTACCCATACCTCAGCACAGTGTCATATGTAATAGGCAGCTGACAAAAGAATAAGAGAGTCCCAAAAGAAGTGAATGAAAGTGGGTTAAGTCACCTTTCTTAGAAAAATGCAAAAACACATGTACTACTAGTAGCATAGTACTCCTCTACCTAAAAAAAAAATGCATACCATTAATTACAATCTCCAGATACTTCCTATCATAGGCATTGTTTCTCAGATTATAATTTATTTGAGAATACTACAGAGGCCCTCTCTGGTTAATGTGAGCCATTCATACATACAACATTTTAGGGCCAGGTATGGTGGCTCACACCTACAATTGCAGTGTTTTGGGAGGCTGAGGCAGGAGGACTGCTTCAGCCCAGGAGTTCAAGACCAGGCTGGGCAACATAGCAAGACTTCATCTCTACAAAAAATTAAAAAATTAGCCAGGGCCAGGTGCAGTGGCTTATGCCTGTAATCTCAGCACTTTGGGAGGCGGAGGCAGAAGAGTCACTTGAGCCCAGGAGTTTGAGATTAGCCTAGGTAACATAGTGAGACCTCATCACTACAAAAAATTTAAAAACTCAGCTGGGCATGGTGACAGGCATTCGTATTTCCAGTTACTTGGCAGGCTGAGGTGGGAGGATCGCTTGAGCTCAGGAGGTCAAAACTACCACAAGCCAGGATCACAGTACTGCACTCTAGCCTGAGTGAGTGAAACGTTATCTCAAAGTAATAATAATAGTAGCAGTAAATAAAATAATAATATGTGTTTTAGAATAAGAGAATTACTTTATGAATGAATACTAAAAACATAATCCTTGCTGATGGTAAAGAGTAAAAATGTGTATCTCCACTTTTGAAAGCACTTGTCTATTCTAAAACACAAATAAAATCCTGTTAGTCTCATCAGAGGTAACAGATACACATCACTGACAGACACTAAATTGATATCTCAGTAGTCACACCTATAGAAATAGCTCTGCAAGACAAGACTGTAATTCATAAAGCAATATGAACTGGGCAGAAACTTATTTTAGTATATCAGTACTAAAGTTAAAGGTTACAAATGTTATCAATTAATTAATCCCCAATTCATTCCAGGAAGGAAAACTATATACTTCCATATACTGAAATGTATGTTTTCTCATTGTTGAATTTTGTTACTTTTTTCTCTATAAAATAGTGAATTCCAAGACAGTCATAGCTTATATGAGAGTAAGCAACATGCAGTGCTACTTTCTATGTATATTAGTAACATTAATAAAATAATATTTCACCTCAGAATTGAATATACCAGTTGTAGTCACTTCTTTTGTAATATTATTCATGTCTAGTATAATGCTGATAAATAATATTTTACCTCAGAATTGGACGCACCAGTTGTGGTAACTTCTTTTGTTTTATCTACTTGCTGAACAAGGAGGTCACAGTAGAGTCTAAGTTCTGACATTTTGGTTTTCAAGTTTTCAGTGTTTTCTGCAAACTCTAAATAACAAAATGATGATAATGTAGTAACCAGAATAAATAACCAATTTACTAGTATGCTACACAGAAGTGGAATATATAACCTATGCCCAATGTCAGAAGATATTTAAAGTATATGGATTTGATAAGTGAAGACATAGGAAGAAGACAGAAAAAGTAGATTTTTAGTATTCTGAAGTAATACACATTATTTCTTGAGTCAACATATTGAGTAATCACCAGTACAGAAAGAAGGAGACAACATATCATTTGACCTACTTCTGTCAGAACTGGGAGCAGAGACAAGCGTTCAGAGTTTTGGCCTCAGTTCTGACACAGTTTTCCATATCTGCAAAATGGGGTCATAGCTATTTACCTACTAATACAGTGCTCAACTCATGCCTGGGAAACAGCATTCTGTAGCATCAGTTATCACTAAGAACATCACTCATAATTTCAGTTGAGAACTGGTTCAGTATGCTGACTTGTCAAAGTTAATGGCACCCAGCTGCCAGGCGCTGAGGGCTCAGCTACAATGATCACTTCTGTAATCTACTCCATGAAAAAACTGCATGCTACCATCTGCTCTGAGTCAAAGCCAACAGCCTCTAAAATGTGCTCCCAATTTAGCACTAAAACAACCAAGAAAGAACCATTTTATCAGGTCTATTTGAAGAGTTGAGCCCATCTGCCATACCTGTCGTGAGAGATGTTCCCTGGAACACTTTTTCCCATCACCCCACCAGCCCCAACTAATCGCTTCAGGTGCACATACAGGGCCACAGGGCTCAGAGGCAGCAACTAGGGCCCAGGCAGTCAGCCCTGGCATTCTTACTCCAGGTTAAAGAGAAAGCTGTGCAGTGGTTCTTCAGAGACCTTAATGATGTTAAGCTAATGAGCACTAAGCAGCGGCAACCTGACAATTAAGTATCCATCCCACCTCAGGGAAAAGGAGGGGAGAGCAGGGTCTCACTACAGAAAACACCTTGATCCAGGCTTATCTAGCTCAGTTACTCCTCACCCAAGGTCAACTTGGTACCGGACTGGGTAACAGACCATCTCGTATCATCACTAATCCTCTGAAGGTATGTTCCAACCTCTTTTTAAAAGATGAGGAAGCTGAGAGTAACAGAGGTTAAGTAACCTGTGCCAAGGTTACACAGCCAATAAACTGCAAAGCCATCATTTGAACCCAGTTGTGTCTGGCTCCAAAGTCTGCACTGTTTCTACTATGATATGCCAAGACAAAAGAGTCAGATATGGACTCTGGTTTAATTCTACTTATATAGCATTTGCATGATACAAAAAGCAGGCTAGGTGGTCACGGCAAGATAACAAGGGAACCTGCAGATGCCAGTGGGTAAGTGCCAATGTTTCCAGACCAGAGGACAATTGATACTTGCCTTTCTCCTTTTGGGTCCTACTATCTGTCAGGCAAGCCTTGGCTGACCCCAAGGCCACCAGCCACCGCTGTCTCTCAGCCACACTTCTGGCCTTCAGGTAGAAATACTGTTCCCCAGGGATTATCAGGTCCATGCGTGTGTTATCTACAGAATGAACTGGAAGAAAGAGGGAGGTCAGAGACCCAGACCCAGAAGAGTGCCATTTGGGTAGCCTCCACCACTCCCTACTTCTGGAGTTCAACTGGTACCAGTCACAAAGGCTTCTTCCCACAGGGGATGCCCTCACACCTCTCCTAACTCACATGAAGTTCTGTTTATTTATCTCTTCTTAAATACCTCTGTTGACCAAGAGGAAAACCTTTCAATTGGCAATTGGCTTCAAGGCATCCCCAAGATTTGGTTCAAAAAAGAATCACAGAATTTAACTTTTGGGTTTTATTTCTTATCAGAATACAGAGAGGAAATCTCTCTCTCTCTCTCTCTCTCTCTCTCTCTCTCTGTGTGTGTGTGTGTGTGTGTGTGTGTGTGTGTGTGTGTGTGTAAAATATGCCGCTCCCATACCAGAAAAGGTACATTCTTGATCTCCTAGGATTTCTTGGGAAGTAATTAAAAAGCAACAACAGTATTTTCCTCTTCTACTTCCCTTGACAAGTCAGACCAAAAGTGTGAGAATTCTCTCAGGGCCCTTTAGGAGAAGAAACAAGCAAATCACACTCTCCTTCACACACACTCACCCCTCAAATTCCCATTTAATTTGTTTTTCTTTTGAGCCACATCTTCTCAGTATGTCTCAAGATTTCAAAGCCAAGAAGAAAAGACTACTTGTATGTCTGTTAGGTTTTTGCTTGTTTCGAGAGGGGAAAGGGAGGTGTGTGTGTGTGTCCACTTTGATTTAACACAAAGTGTTTGATGCTGCAATAAAAAGACAAGCAAGCTTTCCCACCAGCGACTGGCCCCAGGCAAACAGGTGACTAAGCTGGGTGGTGAGGCACAAGGCTCTCGTTTATTCTAACCACCTCTTAACCAATCTCCTTGTAAAAGCTGGTTGCAGTTTTAGGTTATATTTGCAAGGCTTTCTTTTGAGACATAACACTATGCATCTTGGTGTATATTATGGGAGCAACAGATAAAGGCATGCAAGGGCCAGCACTTTTTTTAGTTTTGTAGGGAGGCAGAAAGAAAAATAAAACCTACAAGTCGCTTGATTTCTCACCTTGAATTTCACAGACTGCCATTTGGATGCTCCCTTTACAACCTTTCCAGGCATCTTCAGGAGAATCATAATAGGATAATATTCCCCCACAGAGAAGGAACCACCGAGGTTGCCAACCTGAAAGCAAAAGCAAGAGCATCTTGCAATTACTGCCTACATATGAGGTGCCTCCCAGGACCTAGAAATACAGCCTAACATAGGATACTGGGTTAGTGCCAAGGAGTTTTCCACTGTAAGGGAGAGTCTAAGAGGAAGATTCTCTAGGTGATGGGATGTACAGAAATAAAAAGATTTTTATTCTATTTTTCCCCTGATACACTACTAATAATGTGTGCTTTTTAATTTTTCTAAGACAAATAATTGGTATGTCCTGAACATTATTGTTATCACATGCTTGTCTTCCTCTCTTGATTAAGAAAAATTATTCAAAACTTAGAAATGAGGCAACAAAAGCTCACAACGCCCTTTCAACAAAAGGTCATGCAGAGTGCCAACCACTAAGCCGGCCTAAAGCCAGACATTACCTTCAGAAAAGGTAACTTTGTTTTACTATTTTGTACTGACCCACTGAAATGGAGTAATCTTAAAATATTCAAGACTTGACTATGTTCACTTCAATATTGAGGAATTTCAGGGGACAAACCATATACAGTAGAAACAGATATCTTATCTGGTCCTTTCACGCACCCTATATTCTAGTCAAACCAAACTTACTTGCTGTATTTTTGCCTCTAGACTTTTGCTCTAACTGGATCTTCTTCATAAAATGTCATCCATCGCTGACTACCCCTGCATAAGCCTTGTCAGGTCTTCTCAGTCAGATGTAGTTTTCTTCCTTTCTCTGAAACACCATAGTTTTTTAGAGAGACATTCATTCCTCTCTCGGGACTCGAATGTGGCTAAGGTAGCCAGAGAGAAGTAGAGTTCCAGGAGCTATTCAGATGCAGATCCATGATGGGCCCTTGGCGACTGATCCACACAAACCAAGTGGGTTAGACACCAATGGTATCAAGTCATTATGCTATAACAGATTACTGCACTTCCTGGAGTACTCCCAGTCCAAAGTTACAACACAGGGAAACTACATTGTAATTAGAAGACTGAATGCTCAGCACTAAATCCATGTGAAGGAGTTAGGTGGGCAGGCAAGATGTTTCACTCATCATTTACTTTATCAGGATCTGTTTTTCTAGAAAGCAGAACATTCAGGCATGCCAGGTACCATGTCTCTCACTTTCTTAAGCAAAACTGGGCCAAAACTAATTCTCAACATTCACTCTCCAATATCTGAACTGAAATATCCTGCAGAACTTTTCTCACGAAAGATAAATGATCTTCTCTAAAACTGTGGCTTTTGCTCCTCTTGTTGCATTTTATACTGAGGACTTTCTTCCCAGAGACCTAGACCCTTTTTGCATGTTACGAACTCTATAGCCTTATCTCCACCCTGGCACTTAATTCCTGGCTGGCAAACTTCTTAGGATGAACTTGTAAATTTTTATTTCAGAAAGTGACGCCTCCAGATCTTGGCCTCAAACTTAAACCCAAACTTGAAGGCCACTGTTCTTGGCATAAGCATTATAATCTGGGAAACCAAAAAGATCATGAGATTGTTCTTGTTGAGCAGAGAATCAGAGGTCCTGGAATGAGACATTATTGGTGAGGTGATGTTTTAGCCCTTTCCAAGAGTCTGATTATTTACATCTTAGGCAATCTTCTCTCACTGAAACAAAATAATTAATTTCTGAGAACCTAAGCAACAGAAGAGGTCTTTGAAATCATCTAGTTCAACCAGTTCATTTTACAGATAAAAAAACCAATCCCAGGTATATTATGATCCTTACCTAAAGTCACATAGGTAGTAAGTACACAGCAGAGCTGGGAAGAAAACTGTCTTTGTACACTGCCTTTCCTGGCACAAAACCTCCCAAACTCCACTCCTGGAAAGCTATCCTGGTATAGAATAAGAGCATCTTTTCACTTCACCAGAGCTCAACTCCCATGATTTTGGCTGGTGTGAAACCCAACCCAAACCCAAACCCACCATGACTTTTGTGTAGAAGGCACTCAGGACATCCTCAATAACTGAATTTTACCAAATTTAGGACTGATCTGTATTAGTCAGTGTTATCCAGAGAAAAAGAACCAATAGGGTGTGTGTGTGTGTGTGTGTGTGTGTGTGTGTGTGTGTGTGTGTGTGTGTGTGTGTGTGTGTAAGGAGGTTTATTATATTTATTATAAGGAACTGGCTCATGTGACTACGAAGGCTGAGAAGTCCCATGATCTGCAGTCAGCAAGCTAGGAGACTGATGGTGTAAGTTCATGCCGGCATGCTCAAGACCCAAGAAGAGCCAATAAGGGCTAGAAAAGAAAAGACCAATGTTCCAACTCAAGGCAGTCTCGAGAGGAATTCCCTTTCACTCAGTCTTTTTGCTCTATTCAAATATTTAATTGATTGGATGAGGTCCATCCACATTAGAAAGGGCAATCTACTTTACTTGATCTAGCAATGGAAATGTTAATCTCCTCCAGAAACACCCTTACAGACCCTCTCAAAATAATGTTTAGCTAAATGCCTGAACACCCTGTGGCCCAGTCAAATTGACACATAAAACTAACGATCGCATCATCAATTCTAAGACATACCATTATTTTATGTAACACAATAAAGGGAAAAAAATCCCTGCCAATTAAACAATATGACATTGGCTGAAAGATGCTTCTTGATTTGAGTTGTTGAAATATGAAGAAAAAAAATGTGTCCTAAAATTGAAAAAAAAGTACTAGTTTTATCTTACAGGAATCTAAAAAATGTTAAACAGCCCCCTGTTTCCCACCCTCAAAGTACAGTTGCAGTACGTTTTGAAAGTAGCTGGTAAACTATAATAGTAACTGAAACATTACCTTCCTTATAACAGGTTCTATGTTTATCTAGAGGAAGTTATAATTATACAAGGGGAAGTTCAATGCATTGCAATTTAATTCGGTCATTTGTAACTACAGAAACTACCATCAAGAAAAACTTTTTCTATAAGCATAAAGTTCCTGCAGTTTCAGAAGGCACATTAAGAGACAACAGAAATTTTATTCCCATCAGACAAAACTTAAACGCAGATGGAGAGTATAGAGATTAGTAAAGGGACACACAGCTCTTTTATAATGTCCAGGGCTGGGAAACTGGGATAGAGGCCAGGAATGATGAACTGTAGAAGAAAAGAGGCATGGATGATAAGGAGGCCATTAATCCACTTCCTGTTTTAAATTAATCTGCACTTACAGTGGAAATGAAGAAATAGTCAAGGTAACTAAAGGGCTGATGAAAACTGTGAGTCTATACCAGTCCCTGCTCCCTTAAGATTACCACTGGACTATCTTTCCATCCAACTCCTATCCTCATGTATGCCATCCCCTATGTTAGTTAGGGTCAGACTCCCAGTGGGTCCTCCAGAATGTTAGGTCAGGCCTGTCCAGGGTGTGGGTGTCTGGTGTGCGATCCGATGCTGCAGAAAGATGCAAAGAATTGCGCAGAAGTTAGATTAGAAAATACAGTTTATTTAGAAAGTAAATGAGAGAGAGAGAGGAGATTCACCTCCCCAAGGTAGGGGAGGAGGCCAAAGCCAGGAAACATGGCCTGGCCATAGCTCAAAGAGCACATGGTCACACCACATCTTAGCATGGCAACTGGCTGCTCGAGGTTGAATGTTTTTAACACCCCCCTCCCTGTTTTTTTGAGTTGGAGTCTCACTCTGTCACCCAGGCTGGAATGTAGTGGCACACTCACAGCCACCTGCAGCCTCGACCCGTTGGGCTCAGGCAATCCTTCCACCTCAGTCTTCCAAATAGCTGGAACTATAAGCATGCGTCATTATGCCCTGCTAATTTTTCTTGAGTTATTGAAGAGATGAGGTCTAAATTGCCCAGGCTGGGCTCAGGCAATCCTCTCACCTCAAGTCTCTCAAAGTGCTGGGATTACAGGAGTGAGCCACAGTGCCTGGCCTGACCCCTCCTTTTGATGGGGGAAAGTCATTAAGGTAACTGGGTAGTGGTCTGCCCCACGTCATCCCAAAGGGGCAGGTACTGATGTCAGGTGATGGACAGCAGACAGATGGGCGGGTTAGTCACATGATTGCTGCAATGGTTGTGGGGGGGGAATCCTGTCTGTGTCAAGTAGGTCACAAAGGGTTGATTAGGTTAGCTTGGGGATTTGGGCCCAGAGGGGTTTTTCCTGCAAGAGATCTGTCAAGCGTTTTTAATTCACAAGTTCCTTGACTAAAAGCTGGTCTTATTATTATTTCTATGGCTTCTGCCAGCCAAGGGGTGATCTTTGACTTTCTGGGGTGATTTCTGACCTAAAAGTTTCCTAGAGATTATTATGCTAGACCATGAATCGAAAGGTTGGGCTATTAGTGTGTCCTTGTCTTGCATCTGATGGAGATTTGCTGTGAGGGTGGGACAGGCTGCCGCTTGGCCTACAGTAAAAAGTAATTTTAAAATGTCTGAGGTTCTTATAGTTTGAGGTTTTACGGTTGGGACCTTGATCCATTTAGAGTTGATTTCTGTGTATGAAGATAGGTAGGGGTCTTGTTTTAATTAACTTCAGCATGTGGTCAGCCAGTTTTCCCCACACCATTTACTGAATAGGTTCTCCTCTCCCCAGTGGTTGACGGTGAAGGCTGTGTTGAAGATGAGTTGGTTGAGAAACTGAGGTTTTGCTTCTGGAATCTCTGTCCTGTTCCATTGGTCTATATGCCTGTTCTTGTACCAGTACCAGGCAGTTTTCATTATTGTAGCTCTAAAATAAAGTTTAAAGTCTGGGAGTATGATAACTCCCGCTTTCTTTCTTTTTTTTGCTGAAGACTGTATTCGTGGTCCTTTACTGACAAGCTTCCGGAAAGCCAAAGAAACCATCAAGAGAGCTGGAAGACAGCCCACAGACTGGGAAAAAACATTTGCCAACTGTATATCTGACAAAGGCCTGACATCTAGGATCTACAAGAAACTCAAATGTGCTGAAAAGAATAAAACAAACAGCCCCATTACAAAGTGGGCAAAAGATATGACTAGACACTTCTCAAATGAAGACATCCGAGCAGTTAACAGATCATGAAAAAATGCTC